TTTGGGGCTCTACTCAGCTCTTCGCAGGAGGGTGGCATGGTTGCCCCCCTGGTGGTCCTCCTTGGGTCCTATTCTGGGGCCTTTGGATGTCTGGGCCTGGATCACCTCCATACCTTCTTCATGCCCTGGGGGACGGGGCTATGGCTCCCCACACTCCCTAGCAGAGCGTTACATGGAGAAACCTTTTGAATACAAGCGTGCTGATCCACACAGGTATGCACACAGGTGTACACATGGGTATTCACAGACACAAACTACAGCTTTCTTGGCTGCTGCCTCAAAGCACATTGTGCGCTGTCGATCTTGCGTGCTGCACAATATCGTTTATTATTTAGTATCTACTGATATCTACTGCTAGCTAGTTTATTGTGATGGTGTTGTTTTTATTATGTTGCTCTTTCTTGTTTGTTTTCTCTTCTGTTTTTTCTTATCTCCATACAGGTGATCGAGGTGTTGTGTTTGTTTTTCCTTTTTTTTTCTTTCTCCCTTTCTCACCGTCTCTTCTCCCCTCTATTTTTCTTTCTCTCCCTCTCTTTCTTTCATTCTTTCTCCCTGTCCTATCCCCCTGTCATGTCTGTCCCGTCTGTAACAACCGAAAACCAAATAAAATAAATACATAATCATAATAAAGGTCAATCAAATGGACCAATATGGCAAAGCCATGATGATCCAATTGGTAAAGTAATTCTGCTTGGCATCTTTCTTGGCCTTCAGACAACAATTCTGATGGCTAAAGATCCAAACGGGACAGGCAAAAAAAACAAAAAAACATCACAGTTCAACACCAGTTCAATCAGATTCAGGACTGAGTTCAGGACTTTGACTAGGCCACTCCAAAGTCTTCATTTTGTTTTTCTTAAGCGTTTCAGAGGTGGACTTGCTGGTGTGTTTTGGATCATTGTCCTGCTGCAGAACGCAAGTGCACTTTAGGTTGATGTCACATTCTCCTTCAGGATGTTTTGGTAGGCAGCAGAATTCACAGTTCCATTTACCATAGTAAGTCTTCCAAGTCCTGAGGCAGCAACACAGAACCAGTCCATCATAGTAAGACAACCATATTTTACTGTTGGTATGCTGTTCCTTATCTCAAATGCTGTCTTACTTTTACACCAGGTGTAATGGGGACGCATCAACATGTTTTCTGGAAAAATGATACGAGCTTTTGGCTTTCACTTTGGAACCATTTTTGCCCAGTTTCTTTATTATGGTGGAGTCATGAACACTGACCTTAACTGAGGAAAGTGAAGCCTGCAGTTCTTTGGATGTTGTTATGGGGTTGTTTGTGACCTCTTGAATGAGTCATCACTTTCCTTCCGGTTAATTTTGGTCGACCGGCCGCTCCTGGGAAAGTTCACCACTGTTCCATGTTTTCTTCATTTATAAATACAGGGTCTCTCTGTGGTTCGCTGATGTCCCGCAGCTCTAGAAATGGCTTTAAAACTTTTTAATGCTGAGAGATCTCAATTACTTTGTTTTTCATTTGTTCCTGAATTTCCTTGGATTGTGGCATGATGTCTGGCTCTTGAGGATCTCTTGGTGTACTCCACTTTGTCAGACCTTTTCTATTTAATCCAAAGTTTTAGGTCCAATTATCTAGCTCTTGAGCATTGCCGCAATCTAAAAATTCCAACGGTGCCTGAAAGCATCAACTCTGTGCTTTTTCAGTGATATTAGGGTGATTATGGTATTCCCAGGCAGGTCGACACATCAGAATCTAAGCAAATACAGAAAACAACAAAGCAAACAGCAAAATAAAAATAAATAAAAATAAAACTCCAAATATCCGAAAAATGCCTGTTGTCTGTACAGCCCCACCACATTCGTTCACTCTCTCTTCTCTGAAACAACTTTCATTTTCACAGGGCTGCTGTGACATCATACCTCAGGTGACTCTAATATCACTGAAAAGCACAGAGCCACTGCTTTCAGGAACCGCTGGAATTCTTTTAACTCTTTAAAGGTTAAATGATTTCGTTAAAATATTTGGTGGGGGTAGGTTTAGGTTTTTTTCTCCCTAGTCATATACACTTTCATTTAGAAACTGCATTTCGAGTTTACTTGTATTATCATTGTCTAGTAGTTATTTTTTTATTTGATGACCTGAAATATTTAAGTGCGACAAATATGCAAAAGAATACAAAATCAGGAAGGGACAAACTTTTTTTTCACAACACTGTATAGTTTGTTTTCTTCTGAAAAGGAAACTCTTTGAGGTTTTAAGTTGAGCACACCATTATAATGTAATATGATGTAATTGATGTAGTGCAGTGGAAATATATCAAACAGGAAACTACTAGAAGGCCATATACATATATACATATATATACATATACATATATATACATATACATATATATACATATACATATATATACATACATATATATACATATACATATATATACATACACATATATATACATACATATATATACATACATATATATAATACATATACATACATATATACATATACATATATATACTATATTTACATAATTACATATAATATAATATACATATAATATATATTTTCATATAATAATATATACATACTACATATCATATATATACATAATATATATATAATATATATATATACACTCAACAAAAATATAAACGCAACACCTTTGTTACTGCTCCCATTCCCCATGGGATGGACGTAGAGACCTAAAATTCATTCCAGATACACAATATAACCATCCCTCCCAAACAGTGGTCACAAATCAGTCCAAATGTGTGGTAGTGGGCACATCTGCTATATTGAGATAATCCATCCCACCTCACAGGTGTGCCACATCAGGATGCTGATCTGACATCATGAGTAGTGCACAGGTGTACCTCAGACTGCCCACAACAAAAGGCCACCCTGGAATGTGCAGTTTTGTCTCACAGCAAAATGCCACAGATGCCACAAGCAATGAGGGAGCGTGCAATTGGCATGCTGACAGCAGGAATGTCAACCAGATCTGTCGCCCGTGCATTGAATGTTCATTTCTCAACCATAAGCCGTCTCCACAGGCGTTTCAGAGAATATGGCAGCACATCCAACCGGCCTCACAACCGCAGACCTCGTGTAACCACACCAGCCCAGGACCTCCACATCCAGCAGGTTCACCTCCAAGATCGTCTGAGACCAGCCACCCAGACAGCTGCTGGAACAATTGGTTTGCACAACCAAACAATTTCTGCACAAACTGTCAGAAACCGTCTCAGGGACGCTCAACTGCATGCCCGTCGTCCTCATCGGGGTCTTGACCTGACTCCAGCTCGTCGCCGTAACAGACTTGTGTGGGCAAATGCTCACATTCGATGGCGTCTGGCACGTTGGAGAGGTGTGCGCTTCACGGATGAATCATGGTTCACATTGTTCAGGGCAGATGGCAGCTGAGAATGTCCCAGTTCTTGCATGGCCAGCATACTCACCGGACATGTCACCCATTGAGCATGTTCGGGATGTGCTTGACCGGCGTATACGACAGCGTGTACCAGTTCCCACGAATATCCAACAACCTCGCACAGCCATTGAAGTGGAGTGGACCAACATTCCACAGGCCACAATTGACAATCTGATAGACTCCATGCGACGATGTGTTGCACTGCATGAGGCAAATGGTGGTCACACCAGATACTGACCGGTTCTGGGTCCCCAGACCCCCAATAGCGCAAAAAACTGCACATTCCAGGGTGGCCTTTTGTTGTGGGCAGTCTGAGGTACACCTGTGCACTACTCATGATGTCAGATCAGCATCCTGATGTGGCACACCTGTGAGGTGGGATGGATTATCTCAATATAGCAGATGTGCCCACTACCACACATTTGGACTGATTTGTGACCACTGTTTGGGAGGGATGGTTATATTGTGTATCTGGAATGAATTTTAGGTCTCTACGTCCATCCCATGGGGAATGGGAGCAGTAACAAAGGTGTTGCGTTTATATTTTTGTTGAGTGTACATATATATATATATATAATATTCAGATATATTTATTAAAAGCTAGACATTTTAAATGTGAAAGACAGGAAAGAAGAGAAGAGTGTTCCCTCATCATATCTGGAAAGCTTGGTTAACACACTCTCTAGAATGACGACAAACTAGGAAAGAAGAGAGGAAAAAAAAGCCTCAGAGAAATGACTTTACATTTGGGAACATAAGCTATCACAAATTGTGAGTCGTATATAAAATTGGATTCTTGTCGTTATCATCTCATCTCATTAAGTCTTTATGGTGCTTTGGAATTTTTCGTGTCTTTTGGTGACTTCTTTAGCCTCAGACTAAAGAGCTAACTTGGATGAGTGATGAAACATCTCTTCCATTGGAAATCCTATGTCCAGATGAGCGATGATTTCTTTACCGGGATGGCTAACCATGCATTCATACATTTAAATGAAATTTTAATAGTTTAAAATGAGCCTTTTTGTTATATTATGTCTCTCTGTAGTTGTTTTGAATGCCTGGTTTAGGTCTTATTGCTGTCATTTGTTTGTCTTTTCAACAAGAACTGAAACCATGCTAGGAACATGTAGTGTACTTTTGTACCTTAGCTACTAGCAGAGTAATCATCTCCTTCACCGTCTCCTCAATTAGATTGTTGATTTGGGAGTGATATTGCCTCTGCAGAAGAATAAGAGGAAGAAAAAAATGTTAGACTGTTCACCCTCAGTAGATTACACTTGGTAACCTCTGTTTGACACCAGCCACTGAAAAGAAACACTGGAAGTTTTTACACTAAATAGTATTCAATTATTAATTTGCCGTGGCATACTTATTATATATAGCATGAGCTGCAGATATTTTTAAGACTGGACTGACTGCCTATTCAGGAGTGAAAATAAATTTTTCATAGCATGTCATATCTAAAACCTGTGTGATATTCTTCTCATGAAAGTGAATTTAAAAAAATACTCCTGTCCAAAACTTTCAGTAAATCCAGCATCTTTTGAATGTCAAAAGAAGGCTTTCAGCCGCTGCACATGAGTAAATGTAGCTCCAACCTATCAAGGTATATTTTGTACAGCCTGGTCTTGTTTATATGACCTACAAACAAAACAAACAAACAAAAAACAAAACCACGTATGAAAACACTGAGGTGAATTAAGATTTTGCAGGATTTTGGAGTCTATCATCTCAATATTGTAGTTTCAAAATGCAGACATCCAGCTTCACACTGTTGGGTGACTAGTGTAAGGTCGTTCAAATTCTGTTCAAATTCTGTGTTAGGTTGTTTCTGAACAACCTAACGATTTTCTCTCATCTCAGAGTGAAAGTTTGGGTTTTCTTTGAAACCTTGGCAAAGTGGTGATACATCCAAAGAACTAGTACTTACATACAATTGTTTGAATTGGTGGTCTTCAGTCTTTTAGAAGCAACTTCAAGAGACCTGTAAATCTACAAGACTGACGTCTTTGGACTTTACGATTGTGCCAAGTACTATAAATCCTTATGGTGGCAAAGAAAAACTACCAAGTCATGATCACTAATAAGAAGTGAATAGTCCTGGACCTTCAAGTCAAGTTAAAATACACTGTAGAACATTTAGCTCTATCTATTAAAAGATTTAAGCTCCAAATTACCATGACATTCAAACTTTTGACCTCAAGTTGTATGATGTCCAATATGAATCATTTTAAACTGGAGGGAAATCCATTCTGAAAGCAAGTGTGTTTACGGGAGATATTTAGTATTTCCTACCTCCTGCCCCAGGTCCATGGCACACAGCTTGGCTGACTGGACCTTGGCGTCCACCATGACATTGAACATGGTGCAGATGGATTGAGGCACTCGGAAGTCTGTGGTCCGGCTGCTCCTCTGAAGCTTGGCCTCAAAGGCTGTCCTTGTCCTAGTGAAGGAATTTTCCAGGCTATAGCCATTTAGAAGTGTGACCCAATGCACATAAGTAACAATTATATCGGAAATCTAATCATATGAACATGAAAATAGCCCAGTTACAGAAGTATTTTTACTTTTTCTGACTACCTTTTAGTACATTGTTCAGTTATTAAAAAAAGAAAAACTTTTCTCACTCATTCCTTTTATATTTTTCCCTCTCTTCCTCTCCCCTGACACAAAGTATAGTTCCCTAAAACTGTAATAGTAATTCTTCAAACATGTTACCAGTCATGTATGGGCAGAAATCTGTGCCATCAGAAACTGAATTTGAATCGAATTGAATCTGAATTGTAACTTGAATAAATGCTTTTACAAACTGAATATGAATTAGCCTAATTTGAAATTCAATTTATTGGTCTGAAAATGATCATCACTAAATTGAAATTGAATTTTATATTTTGAAAATGAATTCATTTGCTTTGCTTTGAAACTGTATTTTATGCTTTAAAAATTTTAGCTCTCGAATAATTTCAGATTCACCTTTCATTCATAAAAAACGAATTAAGCATGCGCTCAGTACCCTGAGAATTATTATGGTAGTTAAACACAGTGATAGTTGTATATCATATTATATCACTTCAAACAGAGGTGATCCAGTAATGCTGCACTAATGAATTAGACTAACTATTCAAAGAGAGAGATAGAGCTTCTTCAGTTCTAAGGTCAAATGGTGGAGAGTCCCAGATATAAACCTAGTGGGATTCCCCCCACAGAGGGACAAAAGGACCCCCTGATGATCCTCTAATCGCCTGAGCCAAGGTGTGAAACTGGGTGTGGGTCCCAATCAGCCAGAGTTTCGGGTGTGTTCATTGTGAAACCTGGCCCCACCTTATCATGCGAATTCCTGAGGTCAGATGGCCCAGGATGTGAGTGGGCGTTAAGGCGTCTGGGAAGGGATCTCAAAACTGGATTATAGATGGCAGAGAGTTGGTGTCGTAAACCCCCGCCTCTGTTCAAAGATGGTCGCTCACAGTGGACATAGATGCTTCTTTCACTCCTCTTTCAAACCATCTGTCCTCTCTGTCCAAAATGTGAACATTGGCATCCTCGAAAGAGTGTCCTTTATCCTTAAGATGCAGATGGACTGCTGAGTCTTGTCCTGTGGAGGTGGCTCTTCTGTGTTGTGCCATGCGCTTGTGAAGTGGCTGTTTGGTCTCTCCAATGTAGAGGTCTGGGCATTCCTCGCTGCACTGTACAGCATACACCACATTGTTAAGTTTGTGTTTTGGCGTTTTGTCTTTCGGGTGAACCAGTTTCTGTCTGAGCGTGTTGCTGGGTCTGAAATACACTGGGATGTCATGCTTGGAGAAAACTCTCCTGAGTTTTTCTGATACACCGGCTACATAGGGGATGACAATGTTGTTGCGTCTGTCCTTCTTATCCTCCCTCGCTGGTGTCTGGTCTTCTTTTCTGTGCCTCTTTGCTGACTTTAAGAACGCCCATTTAGGATAGCCGCACGTTTTGAGTGCTTCCTTTACATGTGTGTGTTCCTTCTTTTTTCCTTCAGGCTTAGAGGGAACATGTTCTGCCCGGTGGTGTAGGGTCCTGATTACTCCAAGTTTGTGTTCCAGAGGGTGATGGGAGTCAAAGAGGAGGTACTGGTCCGTGTGTGTGGGCTTCCGGTAAACTTCGATGTTGAGGTTGCCGTTCTCTTCAATGTGCACAGCGCACAGTGAAAGGCCTTTGACTAT